CGCTCCTTGCCCCTTAACCAAGCCTTAAAGAGAGCGCCATTTACACGGGTGCAAGCATTGCAATCAGTGAATAGAATAAAAAAATTTAAGGTTTTGCACCCAGATCAGTCACCTGAAACTCCAGGCAAAAAGAGGTACTACTGTCGTTTTTATTTAAATGAAATACATGACACTTCTTATTTGGAAATATTATTATGTTTTATTTTGTCGCGAATGTAAGTGCATGAACTTTTTTTTATTTGTTGCCGAACAAGAACACGCGGGAAAATCCTGTTGGACGATTTCGATAAGAGAGTATCAGGGACACTATTCATGATTTTTTACACTGTCCAGAAGGTCGTCTACAATAACAAAACTACTACCAGTGCTGAAACAATAAATCAATTGGAATTGGAGCCCTTCATCACTTCGAACCATTTTGAAATCTATGGGATTCGTTTGGAAGAAAGTTCAGAACAAACGAAAATTACTGTTAGAACAGAGGTGATATGTAGATTGGAGATCTCGATTACCTGGTGAGAATGAAGCATTTTAGAGAGAAGGAAGGGAGATATTTATTTAGATGAATCTTGGATAGACAATAATATGACCACAGGAAAGTGCTGGGCAAAGAATGATATTTTAGGAGGGGGGGGGGGGGGGGGGGGGGGGGGGAAAAGGGGGGGGGGGGGGGGTGACTTCGTGGGGCAGTTCTGCAAAACGACTCATTATTGTTAGTGCAGGTTCTCGAAATGTTTTTTATTGAAGTGCTACCTAAATAAATGGAAGGACACTCACAAGGGATTACCATGGACAAATTGAACTCCACATAATTTTGAAAAAATGGTTCTCAATATGCAATTACCCAAATATACGCCGCACCGTCAATAGTTATGGATAATTGCCCCTTACCATTCTAGACAAGTCGAAAGAGTCCGTCAAGATACGACCACAAACTGAAACATGATAGAATGTTAAGGAAGAGGGAATTAATTGTGATCACAAATCAGGCGTAAAAGTTATTTGTTCGACTCATACTGGCCAAAAACCGACCGAAACGGTTTATGTAATAGACAAAATGCTTCTGAAAGGGGTAATACTGTTATCGTCTTCCGCCTTACAATTGTGACCTCATCCATAGAGTGTAGCATGGGCTTAAATTAAAGAGTTTTACCATAATTCACTGGAGACATTGCCGGTGCAACACCTTCTGTGAACTACACACTACGATTCTGCCACATGTCACATCTGCGACTGGAAAGGCTTTTGCGAAACATACAGAAGTTGAATCGAATAATTCAAAAAAAAGGGATATTTGGGAAGTAAGCTATCGACGATGATTATGTTGAATGTGCTGGTGACACGGCCAGTGAATGAACGCGACCAGCTATTCCGATGCTCGGAGTAATTGCTATAATTTACGTAGAGTTCATCCACGCTGTTGGGCGGCTGCTAGTCATTTCAACAGTTGGTACGCTCTTTTATGGCTGTGACGTAGCAGCGGACTTCTCTCCCGCACCCCCCGCGCCATAAATATTCAAGAAAAACTTGCGCGACCAAAAGTATGAAGTGATAACGACAGCCATATGTGCGTTACTTTATGATAAAAAGTTTTTATGTGAAACATTATGTAGTTGCTGTGCAGCATTCGGTTGGTACGAATGAAATTCGTATTTGTATTTAAACATCAAGCATTTGCCACTTATCAGAATGTCACAATAGTTTAATACATAAAATTTAATAGACAGCATTACACAAAAGTTAATTACCTTCATGACAATAAAATTCTATCTCAAAAAGTCAGTTTTTATTACATACCCTGTCAATTTCCCTAATCCTTTCAAAAGAAAAAGTTAAACTTATAATTATTAAATATTAATTGGTTAGATGTTTTCAATATTATTTTCTATATTCATGAATTTTTTCTTTTACGTTATACTCAATAGGTTAATTGAAATATTAGCTGGCCATTTTCCTTCCAAAATCTTGTATAATAATTGATGTGCTTTTAGAAAAATGTAAAAAAATATTGTTTTACCTGTACATCATACTTCATTATGAAAGATTTGTTATGTCACTTAAACGTTTATATAAACAAACTCAAAATAATTTTAGTTATAAAAGCAGTTTTACAGTTTGAGATTATAGTGTGTGTGCCATAAAAGTTTCTGTTGACAAGAAAATGTTTCTCTGAATTGTGAAGAATGTCATGATCTGAAGATAAAAAAAATGTTTTATATACGAATATTTTCTATGAAGG